GGACGAGAAGGAGGTGGTGACCCAGAAGCGCTTCTGCTTGTCGTGCGGGCCGCTGGATCCTCTGCCCAGGGACCCCTGGCCAGGCCTTCCCTTTTAACCTCCGAGAGCCCGGAAACTTCCCCACCCTGCCCCCGGGCCCGCGCCCCCTCCCTTTCCCTCTGCCTAATTAGACTTGGGCGCGGCTGGCATCCAACCTGGGCCCCAGATTCCTGCTCTGGGAGGGGCCCGGGAATACAGGCTTCTCCCAGTGCCCAAGACACCCTTTTGGGGACCTGGCTTCCTTGGGGATTTCCCTACGTCTCCTTGTTCCAGGGAGTCTTCCCAGATGGGGAGAGAGGGTGCCCGGGAGCCTGAGGGTGGTAGGGACCAGAAGAGAATAAATAAACAGGGAGATGCATACCTGGGTGACCACGTAAGGAAAGCCAGCAGGCTGCCAGGGAGAGGGGGAGGCAGAGATAAAGAGAGGTTCAAGGACAGCGTAGGAGCCACAGAGACACTCACAGAAACAAAACAGGAAAAGGAAAAGGGGGAGATGGAGGGAGAGGAGGAGGAGACAAGACCCAGGGGGATGCTCTGTGCTGGAGTCCACCCCCCACCCGCCCCACCGCAGCCAGGGCGGTGGACTTCGTGTGTGTCCCCAGTGACCAAGCCCAGGTGTTAGGGGAGGGAGGCAGGCACGCCCTGCCCTCCCCATGTGTGGTCCCCTCACACCCTCCCTGCCCTCCGTGTGTCTGCAGGTGACAGGCAGGCCCATGAATCACCGGAGGCTGCCAGGGGTGTCCACACCAGCTCAGCCAACTTCCTTATTTCGGGTGAGGAATGGGAGGCTCAGAGAGGGCCGTGACTCAGGGGAGGTCACGCAGCAAGTCCGCCTAACAACCAGGAGGCCCCGGTTCCAGCTCCGGGCGGGCGGGCGGGCGGGCTCTTCCTCCTCATGCCGGCTACCTCCCCTGCCAGGAGAGCAGAACCCTGGGAAAGAGGCCGGGTGCTGGGCTGTCGACCCAGCAACTTCTCCAGGGAGGAGGGAGTTCCTTCCAGAGGCCGTGCGGCTCCGCATTGTCCACGCAAACTTCCTGCAGCCGCACGGTGCTGCCCAACAGGGCGGCCACGGGCCACAGGTGGCCATGCCACACTGGCGATGTGTCACCTGGGAGGGAAGAATGGCATTTCTGCTTTCATGTAATCTTCCTTTAAAGTCACACCCGGCCGGTGTAGCTCAGTGGTTGAGCGTCGACCCATGCACCATGAGGTTGCGGGTTCGATTCCTGGTCAGGACACATGCCCAGGTTTCAGGCTCCATCCCCAGTGGGGGCCGTGCAGGAGGCAGCCGATCAGTGTCTCTCTCTCTCAAGGACGTTTCCGGCTCCCTCCCTTCCCAACTCTCTAAAAATACACGAAAACGTATATTTTTTAAAGTCGCATGTGGTCAGTGGTGAACGGATTGGCTTGCGCGGGTCTCAGGGGACTAGCTACCTCTCACGGAGGTGGGAAACAAAACAATGAGCGCTCCCTTTTGTTCAGTCTTCACTATGTGCACGCAGACCGACCTCACGTGCTGGGGTACAAGGCGTATGTGTGGCTTGGGGACCGGGAGAGAGAAGACCCATCAGCGGGAATGAGAGGCCTTGGGGGAGGGGAAGGTGCTGGGTGTGGGGTTAAGGTAGTGGTTCTCAACCTTCTGGCCCTTTAAATACAGTTCCTCATGTTGCTAAGGAAACCGAGGCGGTAGGGCTCCGTGAAGATATCACCCCTGTTTCAGACTCCTGGCTTTTCTACTTGCTGGCTGTGTGACCATGAGCCAGCGACTCCATTTCACTGTGCCTCAGTCTCCTCATCTGCAAAATAGGTATAGTAATAACAAGAATAGTCATAATCCTATATAATAAGAGAGGAATATGCTAATTAGCCGTTACACCCTGAGACGTATCGACCAAGCGTTTCACGACCAGATCACGAATCAGCAAGAGGTTGGGCCAGCGAGGTACAAGCGGGCTTAATAATCATAATCCTATAAAATAAGAGATGAATATGCTCATTAGCCGTTACACCCTGAGACGATCCCGGATCAGCAAGAGGTTGGGCCAGCGAGGTACAAGCGGGCTGTGGAGAGCTACTGGAGGGGGCAGGACAGCAAGCTACGATGGGGGGAGGCAGGAAGGGGGAGCTACAGGAGGGCGACATTGACCTACTGGCTACAAGGGGGCGGCAGAGAGCTACAGGACGGGGCAGGGCAACAAGCTATGTGGGGGGGAAGTGTGGTTGGGGGGAGCTACAGAAGGGCAGCGGGCGGATTCGTGTGCAGGGCTACTAGTAATAATAATAATAGCACGACCTCCTTAGATGTTGGTGCAGGGTACGTTCATGGATACAGGGAAAAGCCCTTGGGCCGGGGTCTGGCACCCAGGTAAGCACTCAGGCGAGCCATCCATGTACTAAACATTTATTGAAATCTCGTGCCAGGAACTGTCTTTGGGGCTGGGATACAACAGTGAACCAAACAGCTACCAAACAACCACCCCCCAGACTCCCAGGTTAATGAATTGCGGTCTCATCCGTTCCGACAAGTTGCTTATTGCGCTTCGGCATCTATCTAGCCCAGGAAGCCCCGGGGACGCGTGAAGGGGCCCTGGCCGGGCTTCGTCAGGAGCAGAAGGAACAGGCGCCACGTCACCACACTTGGACGGGGCGTGGGTGAGGCTGGCGAGCTGGTGCCGGCTAGTTGTTCTTCATCGTCTCGTGAATCCAGTCCACGTATTTGCAGACCTTTGTGTAGACGCCAGGCTTTCTGCTGACAGCACAGGGGTCCTGACCCCAAGAGATGATGCCTTGGAGGGACCCATTGCAGACCAGCGGGCCTCCGGAGTCACCCTGGGGACCGGGAGAGAGAAGACCCATCAGCGGGAATGAGAGGCCTTGGGGGAGGGGAAGGTGCTGGGTGTGGGGTTAGGGTAGTGGTTCTCAACCTTCTGGCCCTTTAAATACAGTTCCTCATGTTGTGACCCAACCATAAAATTATTTTCGTTGCTACTTCATAACTGTAATGTTGCTACTGTGATGAATCGTCATGTAAATATCTGATATGCAGGATGGTCTTAGGCGACCCCTGTGAAAGGGTCGTTCGACCGCCAAAGGGGTCGCGACCCACAGGTTGAGAA